ATTCATATATTTGTGTTCACAGACCATAAAAACAATCGATTTCAAAAGAAATTAATAACGCAGAACACGAGTATGAATATGAGCCCCCCCCCCCATTATCGAGCTTGCTACGGCACTATATGCAGACACACAAATTCCTGTATTTATCAAATCATGGATGTCAGTAAGTGTAACACAAGTAGGCATATACAGTACTATATTAGGAAGAGGTTGTCACATGCCAACTGCTTTTCACCACAGGGTCAGTGGTAGGTTAGATGAATAATTAGGCCAAATCGTCATTAGTGCCATTTAGAAAACAAAGAAAACAAAAGGCCTAGTGTGACTGTGTTTGGCCTAATTATTCAGCAAACCTACCAACCCTGTTTCACCAGGTTTAGCATATGTACATGATATTAAAGCCATTAAAGGGGTGACGGGAGTTCAATTTAACTATTCACCTGAGTGAAGCCTAGTTCACAAATACTGTGGTGTGTTGGCAGGTCACCAGTTCAACCAAATAATTCACAAAAGAATGTATGCATCAATCTCAGGCATATTAAATCATAATCCCCGAGCCGACGGCGCGAAGCGCCGTGCGAGGGTTCTAATTCCCCCCGGCTATTTACACCCGGAGAAACGAAAGCATTAGCGGAGTCTAAAGTTCATCAAATATCGCGGGCGTGGGTCACCAACGGTGTTGGGTGGGTGGTCATCCTCACTGACCTCAAAAATATGGCGGACTGTCATGAATAGCGGACACTGATTGGTCCAATTTAAAGTTTGCATTATAACGACTGCATGACGACAGCGAAATAGCAAACATTTCTAGATTTGATGATTCATAAATAATCATAATTGATAAATTTCTTGCAAATATATTTCATTTTTACTCGCATTTTTGCAATATTTTGCAAATTTCAAAAGCTCTCTCAGAAAGAAACTTCGAAAGAATCGGCTAAAAGAAGGGAGCCGACGTTAACGAAGGTAAGTTTGTTTTAAATATTGATTTTATAATGGCTTTAATATAATTTCGCTCAGTGTATCTTTAATATTGATTCACTTTTTTATTATAGTAAATTATTTAATATAAATAAAAAAGAAAGCAAAGTTATTTGCAAGCGAGAATTTGAAATCATTTTATTGCAACTCAAAGTTTATCGATAAAGCCATTTAATTAAAGGCAGTTTAGTTAAACAGCACTTTAAAACGTTTTGCGAAGCGTTTGTGGTTGAATTTTACCTTATATTGAGGCTTATATTACGTATAATAACATACCTAACATATATATGTTGGGAAATTAATAATTTTGTAATTAAAAGTGATATTTTTAGGCGATTTTTCATTTGTAAGAATATTCTTAAAGAATTATCGTGTTACCATGACAACTACTTTAGAACTTCACGAGCGGAAAATACAATGGTTTTGTCAGGAAGGCGAGGGTTTCTGCATGCATGTATTTTCTAGTATTAATATGGTAGGCATATGAAATGCAGGCTTTATATTAAGTTTAAGTTGCCAACAAAATTCTACAGTTAGTTTATATTTCCAAGTTACAGTCACTTATTGAAATGGTTGCTTCAACAGAAAGATCTTTTCCTTTTATACATCATTTCACTGTCCCACTGAGCATGTTGCCAAATGCCTGAAGATTTGACTATTGAAAAAGTATAGTAAAATATAAATCAAAATGGCAACACAGATACTATTCCAGAAAACAATACAATTTAATATAATCCCTCTATTAAACAAATTATACCTTTCTTATCGTTCCATTCTTCGTTTTGCGTTCGAAATAACGCCAGATAATTTCCTCAAATTCAGAAATTGTAATTCCTCGGCTGAACAATTTATACATTTTATAATGCACCAGTCAAATGTGTTCTGAATTTCGATTAGCAATTTCGCATTGATTCAAAACCTATTAGTATTAGCCTAATATTAAGACTTGAATTATATTATAGGGTCAAAAACGGGTGTAATGAATAAATAATAAACACGTGTCAGTAAGTGGCGAGGCGAGGGCACTATATGCCGCACCTATACTGTATATTTATACACATGAAAGCGTTTATAGCGAAGTCTAAAGTTCATTAATAATCGCGTGCGCGTGACTATGATCCAAAGTTTTGTGGTGATGACTTTTATATTTTACATCTCAAACATGCTTTCCTAAAGTCTAAAAACCCTTCTCACGTGTTTAAACTCTATATTGTCCAATCAGAATCATACTACTGATCACGCATTGTTAATATTCTATGCTCTATAGTCTCTATACTATGTCCCGACTAGGCTATATAATATCCATACTACAACACTATGTATCAGTATATCCATATCATATTCTATATCCATACTCTTCATTTGCTATATATATTTATATGTGCAGTAGATATAGATAACATTATGTAGTTACGTTCCATACTACGTCCAAACTATATATATATCATTGCTATATATCCATATAGCATCTCGAACGGTCGCACCGACAAGTGTAGGTAAAGACGTTAAAGCCTGGTTCACACGATGAAATAAGCATAAGCACAAGCACAAGCAGCGGAACCTTTGATGTGCATAAACGTAAGCATAAGAAGAACGCAACATTTGTTCTTCTTTATGTTTATGCTTATGCACATCAAAGGTTCCGCTGCTTGTGCTTATGCTTATTTGGCATCGTGTGAACCAGGCTTAACATGTGAAGGATATGCATGCAACTACTGGAAAATTTTTGTACTATTCTCCAGTACAATCTTGCAAAACAGTATCCGACACATCCCCAGTAAAGAACATTTGAAAGTTTCCATAAACATGCAGCAATTGAAAAAAGGTCAAAAATTGTGTTCGATAGCATTGTTAACAAGAAAATATTTCTTTAAAAAAAGAAATGTTTCGTTCCAATATAATTATAGAAATACCAGACGTCTGTAATTAGCGGTTGTGACACTGACTGCATTCTGGCTGCGCATTTTGGCGTAAATTTTAGCTCATCCACTATCTTTGGCGGCGTGCAGTCTAGAAAAAATGGCAGATACGCAAGCTGCAAATGTTGAGGTATGTTTAATATACTAAATTACTAATGAATAATACGTAGTAATACAATAGTAATTGTTTTATTTAAATAAAGTTCCTGTTTTTCTTAACTTGTTTATAACCTTTTCTACTTGCACTGTGCAATTTTGTCATTTTTAAATCCATGTCGATTTTACTAAATTAAATTATAAATATATAATACTCTTCAGGCATTCAGCAATTCCGTAATAATTATTTTATTTATGAACTGTCTGTCGAAGTTGTAGAACTAATAGATCATAAAATAATATATTCAAAAGTAAAACAATATTTCAAGTATGCCTGTTTTTGTTATATACCCGTTTTTTTGTTATATACCTGAAAATAAAATGTTTTATTGTTGTTATTATCTCCCGTTGTCATCAATAAAATACTATTAATTTATTACTGTTTTGTCTGTATGTGATTATGTACATCATTCTGGATAGGCTAAATATAGTTGAGTGCTCTAGGAGTGTAGATTTTCAAGGCAATACCACAGATTGTTACTCTAAAATTAGTATAACAAACAAAGCAATCTGTGCATGGCCACATGGCTGACATGTCATGGGTATTTAGAAATTTGAAATCTATTTTATTTGTACTGGACACAATGCTGTATCTTTGTGAAGTATCTGAGATATCTTAAAATTATTGTCAATAATATTTAAAATAAACTTCATACTTGTAAGCATCTGTGTATTTTATATCTCTACAAATTTTGATGATCTGCTAATATGACAATATGACATGATATACAACATGTTAATTGTTACATTTTATAATTAAATAAAGGAAACTTGTCCTGATTCCTAATAAATCATATGACCTCTTGTTGTGTTTGTGGACTGGAGTCATCAGGTGCTCATTCATGCTCATCATGTCTACAAGATGTTCATGTTATCTGTGGAAAAATTAATGGTGACGAAGGCTGGGGTTGTTCAGTACTTTGTAATAACTGTGCAACAGAGCCACCTGCAAAGAAAACATCCACTTGGAGCATTGCATATCCTTCCAGATCACAAGAGCTAAAGCATAAGGTTCCAAATCTGAAACAGCAAACTGAAAAAAGTGAATGGAAAACCCATTGTGTATGTCTAACATGCTTTGAAAATGGAATGGAACCGAATATCTATGTTATGAGCAGCAGGGACAGCTCTACAAAGAATAGACATGTTTTGCGACGTCACCCTCAAGTAACATTGTCTCAAATTAGCATTGTAAATTTTGATTCAAATGGCAAAGAAGTCTCATTGGCCAGGGAAAAGTATTATGCAAGCACTAGCAATGACAAATGTAAGAAAAATAGTTCTAAAACTCAAGGAACATTGTTTAATTTTTGTTTTAAACCTGTCGGAGAAGATTCCCCCACATTTATCTGCAACAACAAAAAAGATGCAAGCAGAAGCAATAAAGTAAAGATACCACACACTGAAGCAACAAAAGTCATTTGTCAAGGTGCTGTTGCAGAAGTAAAGACACCAGACACTGAACCAACAACAACCAAATCAACTGCTGGGGGGCTTGTTGAAGCTGATTGCGAAGATACAGTTCCACATCAGAGTCACTCTTGTACTTGTAAGCATAATACCAACCTATTAAATTCCAATATGGATGAAATGATTAGAGCAATAAAAGAGTTTAAAATTAAAACATCCACTCCTGCTCCAACTAAACCTGTTATTTCGTGATTTCTCAGTCTTCAAAACAACAACGTGACTGACTGGAAGAAAATAAGTAACATCATAGACTTGACACAGTCAATTCCAGAAATTAAATTCTATGGTGGAAATCACGAAAATAGTCCTTCAGTTTTGAGATGTTAAACATGCTTCCAATTGCTTTCAAGTAGGTTAACAGGAGTCCATGCCGCAGCAGATCCACGAAAAATAGCACTTAAAGGGATAGGAAGATATGCAGGGTCATTGTCATCCGGACTTCTTTTAACCCCAGAGAAAACAGAGAGTATAATTAAGGGAGGCAATAATTACTGGTATGGAATAAAGAGTGCAGTCAAACAACATACTTCTTGCGATGGAGGACATTTTCAACTTCACTTCGAGGCACTCCAGTATGCAGCAACGATGAGGAAGAGGAAGTCGAGAGGACTCGAAGTAACCGAAAACCTAATACGAATAGCATTGTCTGTGGTAAAGTCGAAATCAGCAGCTCAGCAATTTGAACACCAAATAGCAGCACATATTGCTACAGGGAGTGATTTAGGTGATCTTGGTCATAGTAGAAACCATTTCAACGAAATTCTGTCGACAATAAATGTGTGGCTTGACAAACAAACAGCCAAGCAAATTGCAAAACCCTTGCCTTCAACCGGTTTCCAGCCTCATTTCTATGTTTCTTGTGATAAAAGCACTCCTCATAGAATTTCCAACCACGCCATTATGATATGCCCAGTGGTTAGTGGAAAGCGTGTCGCAATTCCAGTAAATTCGCCTGAGGTTTATCCAAAAGATTCGTTGAATAAAGACGGTGTTTCTGGGGGTTGTGCAGACCAGCTCGCAAAACAAGTTGTCAAAACCATTAAAGAATCCTATGGTGAAGAAGAAAGCTTCGATCTGAAAGCAACCTGGCAAGGTACCTGTTGTGATGGACAATATCAAGCAGATGGATTTAAAACTACCATTTATCAAGAGCTTGGTGTCCTGATTGATCCTGTGTTTTCAGTGGTAGTTTGGGACCAATCCCATTGGATAAATCTTGCCATACTCGATATCAAAGATGGAAAGATTGGCTCATCGTCTGGCTTCTTGACATCTCTTGTGAAGAGGTCAAAGAACATCCATTCAACGTTCCAAAGGGGAAAGATGCTGAGTAGTGTTATAGCACTCGCAAATTCCGAGAAGCTCGAGCTAAAGATGACAAGAGGCAATTGAGCAACAAGATTTTGGTCATCACAATACATGGAATTCAACACCATCATTAAGAGATACAAAGCTTATACAACTGCCTTCGGAAGCTATGGCTACAGTGAAATGAAAGAATTTGACATTCTCGGCACGGACTTTGTGTTAGACCTATGTTGCATATGTGATTCAATGAAAAGTGTTGTTGACTTGATGATTGCTGTCCAAGGACTGGGATGCCCTTGTTGGAAATATGCATATGGTGGCCCAGTGTGAAAGCATTTTTAGAAAGTCTACTTGAAGAAGTTATAATTGACCCATCTGAGTCGATGCTCATCCTGAAGAACCACGTTGATGAAATAATGAAGAGAAGTTTCAAGGGCCAGAAGCTGGTGCAAGGATGGAAACTGGTGTCTCAAGATGAAACCAATTGCTATTGGGAAGCAAGAGACATTCGGGATTGTCAAAGCAATTTCGAAGTATTTGTCAAAGATACAGTTGAGTCATTGAGCAGAAGATACGACATATGCGTGTCAATCATGTGCGAAATGTTGACGTGTCTTCATTTAGAGTCCATCATCACTTTGCTATGTGGTAAAAAGCCAGATGGCAAGCCATGCATAAATGAGGGAGATCTTGAAGAATATGGGACGGAAGGCTTCAAGGCATTTATAAGTCATATATGCAGCATTACGCATGTTAAATTGGCCATTGAGGATGGTGCCATTGATCTTGACCCTCGGCTAAGTCACATTGTGCACCGAAAATTGAAGCAAGCACTTAAAGTTATTTTGTGGCAGGATAGAGAAACCATGATCAATTGGTTTGATTACGTCCCGTCTGAGATCAGTGCGAAAATTAAACCTCTTTCATCTGTTATTTCTAAAGATAGTGGTAACCTATCTTCCATGGAGAAAGTACGTATTGGAAGACCACTCGTCCCAGTCGTTTGTCACCACTAGATTTCATATGCGATTCACGAAAGGTGAGAAGATATACACAGTCCAGTTGAACGAGCCCGCGGTTTATTTGTCGTTGTATACAGATGAATGTGTGTATTCGAAACTTGGCAAAGAAATATGCTTGGTCATCGATATTGCACTTGCAAAAGGTGGACCTGAAACAATCGTCGAGTCATTCTACTCCCTGATGAAGTGCCACAAGAAAGCTGGTGGTCAAAATAATAAAAACCTTTCCTTACGAACAAAGTTAGACTGGAGCTTGCCCGGACCGTTCTAAGCTGATCGCATGGTTAAGGAAGTTGCCCCACTTTATCTTGACGGAAACAAGAAGAAAGGCCTAAAACCTCATTTGTTACCTATTATCGGGGACAAATGTAACTATAAGACAAGCAAAGTTATTTACAGAATTGAAAATGCTGATACTAAGTTGCCATATGTTTTGTAGAATTTGACAACTGTCGGGTTAAAAATACAATAATTGTAACGTTTTATATTAGCCAGAATATTAAAATTCTCTTGTGTAATACTTGTTTGAAACTATACTGTAGTTTATTCGAAAATTAAACTATATATGTTTTGATTGACACATTTCTGCTGCTTTTGACGTTTTTCGATTTACCAGGTTGTGTGTTTGATCAATAGGTCAATTTCAGCGTTTCTGACTGGGAGCTAGCGATAATTAAGTCATTTGACCCTGCTGCCACTGCGTTGGCTCAGATCAATTATGTCATTTGGTCTGGGAGCCTTGCTCTCATGAATCGTGAGCCAATCACCTTGCGTAATTTACTAATGAGAAAAAGGCTCCAGGACCAACAAGTATGTTTGACGTAATTGATGCGTCAAAATGATATCATCGGGCTCCAATTTCCATAGAGATTTTTGCACCTTTGGCGCATGTAACTTAACTTTAGATAGTCTTTGGCGGATCGAATTTTAAAGCTGAATTTCTGGTATCAATCTTTGGCGGCGAGAAAAGGTGGAATGCAGTCGGGGAGAGTCTCTGTGCAAAACTTCCCATGTTGTGGAATCGTCGACGAATTTGACAAGGTCCGTAGCCGGTATAAGATCATTTACCATTATTAAAAAAAGTAAGGGATGGTAGGACCTAGTTTTGTTCCCTGTGGAACTCCAGCTTGAATATACTTCCAAGCAAAGTAGTCCTGAGCAATCTTTGTCCTGTGTAATCTGTTAGACAGGAAGTCGGCAATCCAATTAATGATAACTGGGTGTACGGCCATTAGTTGAAGCTTTCTCAGTAAGACCTTATGATCGATCCGATCAAAGGCTTTCGAAAAGTCTAATAGGCAGATCCGTAATGATTAACCAAAGTCATCGCACGCTTCGTACCACTTATGGAGGAGGTGGACGAGAGCCATGCTTGCGCTTGACCCTGGTAGAGCGCCAAACTGAAAAGGGTCGACCTTTCCAGCGATTGATTGGAAAAGCCAGCGGTAAGCAAACGACTCCAGAATTTTGCTAACAATGGCTATGAGGGAGATGAGACGAAAGTCTGAGTCGATGTCTTGAGTGAGGGAAGATTTGGGTACTGGTAAAACGTTAGCTAATTTCCACAAGGAAGGAACAAAGCCTTGACGGAGGGACAGGTTGAAAATGGAGGTTAGTGGGCGAAACAAAGTGGATGCATTCTCACGAGGAAACCACGCCGACATTTCGTCGGAACCAGCAGAGGAGTGGAGTTTAGTTGAAAGTAATTCAGCTTCGGTATCTTTAATGGATATTATGAATTCGGATGGATAAACGTCAACGGGAAGTGATGGAAGGGTTGACCCAACAGCAAAGAATTTGTCGTTGAACAGGTCAGCTAATTCTTCACCTTGGTAGGGACGATTATTATACATCAACGTTTTAAGATTTCTAGACGAAGAAAGACCTGCGATCTGTTTTACCGCTGACCACCACTGTTTCGGGTTGGATTGTTGGACGTCGGTAATGTTCCTTTTGTAGTAGGAGTTACAAGCTGCTTTACATTTAGCATTCACCATGTTCCTATAGCGTTTAAAGGCGATATTTTTTCCTCTGGATCAAGCACGTTGTCGCTTTATAATCAGAGATTTAATTTCTGACGTAATCCACTGCTAGTGACTAGAGTCGACCTTCACTCGGTTGAGGGAGGTACTTCTCAATGATCTCGTTGACGGTGTCAGTACGTAAAGAAGATAAACTGCGCAGCTCCTTGCAGGATTGCATGTAGCACAATGGAGACCAGTTAACTTGGCACAACTTTTCTCTCACTACTCTCCGGTTAGAAGGTCGTGCGTCTCTCACGAGACGGCAGGATCTTGAGTTGGAGTTCGGGTGGGACATGAATGGATTCAGAACTATTGAATTGTGATCGGAGGATCCGAGAGGAGCAACAACGTTGGTGGTGTCGTAATACTTTGATATGTTGGTAAATACTTTGTCTAAAATATGGTTACCTCTTGTGGCTTGGTTGACAATCTGCTTGAGGCTAAAGGAGGAGCATAACCGTTGATGTTTGAACTGATTGGAGTCGCCAGTTAAAATAATACTAGAATTTGGGTGGGAGGAAAGAGGAGTCAAGATTTTCTGTAATATGAGTTTGTAAATCGATGTCATCGCTTCCAGGTGGATGGTAAACTACACCCAAAATGATGGAAATCGGGCCACGGGGCAGGCGATGCGGTTTCAAGAGGATCCACAGTGATTCAAAATCAGGATTTGAAAGATCATTTAGGAGAATTAGGGGTAGGAGATCCTTAATATAAGCGCAGACACCACCACCCCTTCTTCCGTCGGATCTATCGTGCCTTATCAACGAATAACCAGGATGATCAATGGCAGTACTGGGAACATCAGCGGAAAACCAAGTTTCGGTAATAACCGCGACGTCGACGGAGTAAATAGCCACGGTGCTAGCAAGCTCATCTGTCTTGCTCCGCAGCGAGCGAGAGTTGGAGATAAACATATGGGTATTTATTTTTCGTAAATACTAAAACTGTCTGTACCAATGTAGGTAGTACCAATGTGAAAATGCTGTGCTGAGTGGTTATATATATATTACTACATTAAAAAACGAGCAGAAACTCGACGTTTCGAGCGAAGGCCCTTCGTCAAGAGTAGCTACTAACTCTTGACGAAGGGCCTTCGCTCGAAACGTCGAGTTTCTGCTTGTTTTTTAAGGTAGTAATATAACCACTCAGCACAGCATTTATTTATTTTTCGGCAGCGAAATAATTGAGAGTTGAAATGTTGGCGACATTTCCCGCTTGCGTGAGTCGAAAAATCGAAATACTTGTGAATAACATGGCGGACATGAGTGAGTTCAACTTGCTTTCCCTCGAAGACAAAGTCCCAGCTCTTGAAAATGCTATTTCTGAACATTTGATGAAGTTTTTCAAATGTCGAAGGTGTCCTTCTAATCATTTCTGTCACTAAAAATGATATTCGCCATTCTCGCATCTTTCCTAGCAAATTTTTACAAACCAAAACCTCTTTTTATATTTCTCTGTTCGCTTTCTAATCCGTAATCTCAACTTGACAATAACAATGGCACTTTTAAAAAATATTGCTTGTTCACAGCAGTCATGGTTATTTTTCGCTTCTGCATGCATGGTTGAAAATTCGCGCACTTTTGGCGTGGAAATTGCCTGATTTCGATTCGGTCGAAAAATTGAAAATGTAAAATTAAAACCCGGTATGGTTCTTACATTTGAATGTAAGACTCATACCGCGTCTTACATTTTCAGCTTAGCCTTCAGAACCTGGGCTTTTGTCGGAACACAAAACCGGCCGAGAACAATAGAAAATGGGTGTGGTAGGTTTATAAATTAACTAGAAAATACATGCATGCAGAAACCCTCGCCTTGCTGACAAAACCATTGAATTTTCCGAACATGAAGTATCTAGAGCAGTTGTCATGGTAATACGATAATTTTTTAAGAATATTCTTACAAATCTCCTAAAAATATCACTTTTAATTACAAGATTATCACTTTCCCACCATATATATGTTAGGTATGTTATTATACGTAATATAGGCTTCAATTTAAGATAAAATTCACCCACAAACCCTTCGCAAAACGTTTTAAAGTGTTCTTTATAAAACTAAACAGCATTTTTATTGTTTTATAATTAAATGGCTTTATCGATAAACTATGAGTTTGCAATTGATTTAAATGATTTAAAATTCTCGCTTGCAAATAACTTTGCTTTCTTTTTATTTAAAAAATTCAATATAATAAAGCAGGGAATCAATATTCATAGGCGTACGGGGCGGGGGGCAACTGCCCCCCCCCAAAAAAAAAAAATAAATTTTGAGAATCAAGCCATTCGGGCAAAGGATTCACCCAGATTCGGGCAAAAAATAGTATGTAATTTGATAGTTAATTAAATAATAACAACACAATTTTACAATTTAAAGCATATTTGTCTTGTTTGTACTGTAATTGTATGTCGTTGGTAACGACAGCATATTTGGACAGTGCTGAAAATCTGTCAGACCGCTTTTTCCGTCGGGTTTTCAGGCAAACGCCTGCAATAAAGTCATTAAACATTTATGCGACTGTAACATAAAGTACATCATGACACACAACAAAGAAAAGAAAATTGATATCCGATAGAAGCACGATGAACTTGTGAAGTATAAAGGTTAAAGTAGGAAATCCAGGTACGAATAATATGCTATTATAATCCAGGTACGAATGATATTCAGTGTTGGAATACACAATTGCTGCTATAACACGTTTTAACTTGTGTATTTGGCTCATTTTAACATAAAAAACATTGAGTTAATGTCGGCTGGAAAATTTTAAGTTTGCATTATAATTTTTTGTTTGATTACAAACAAAAACATATTGGGTTAGATCTAATGATTGTTTTGCTAGTTAACCTACTATATAACTCCGTTGGCAGGGCATTGGAGATGCAAACCAATAGTCGCAGGTCAAGCGTTTTTTTCAGCTTGCAAATGTGGAGTAACTCAGAATTCCGTCATCTCAAAAATAATGGATTAGATTGTGCAATATTGTAATATTCTGGGTTTTTAAAACAGGGATGGATCCAGCATGATCTGGTAGGGTGGGTGGGGTGGGGGTGCTCTGCCAGCTCTGGTGCCGAGTTGTGTCGGTCATGTGGGCCGCCCACCCATCAACTTGCTTCACTACTGCAAAGTCTTGCTTGACCACTGTATTTGAATTGTAATTGTTGTTTACAGTTCGCTTATCATCATGTTATTACTCAAATTACTGCATCTCATTTTGTCTCTAGTAATTTTTTGCTTTATCATGAAAAATAGCA